TCGTGATAACTAATGTTTTTGCACATTGTCTTGGCTGGTGTATTGCTTTGCTGGCCTCACGGTATCTCCACTGGGTATATTATTCTGGTAGTTTGTAGCAGTCTTATTGTGACTGCTTGGCATATGGTCCCAGCTTGCTCTGATGGCTTCTGTGCACAGTGTTACTTTGGGCTATAGTCCATTGATTCTAGGCCACCCAAGCCATCTCAAGGGTTGTGTAGTAGGGTACAGTGACAAGAACTTCTCCCTGATAAGGAAAGGGTTAGAATTCTCTGGTAATGGCCACTACAACCAGCTAATAAAATACAGTCAGAGGGCCCCCTGGAGAACATGAACTTGTCCTTTTCAACCATGAAGTCCCGCTATCTCCCCAGAGGAGATCAAAGTTTTCTACTAACTTATAACTACCGTAATTTAGAGTTAGACATTCCCCAGATCGTTTCCAGTTTAGTGAGAAAGTGAATTAGAGCCAGAACAAAAGGTAAGCTAAGGAGTCAAGATCGTTATCCTTCAACCACTTCTGCATTCCACCTTTATTATTCATTTTGTTTGCAGCAAACCCTGCTGACTTTGGAATCATATTTTGGGCGGAGGAAGAAGCTTAGTCACCCTAGGGAAGCTCCCAGAGGCCAGAGACTTTCATTTTTGTCTTTAGTATGTCCAGCACCTTGCATGGTGCCCTGCGCAAGCAGGAAATTAATCAGTGTTTATTGATTAATTAATTGATCGAGCTCTTACTGTGATTCTCAGCCACTCTGGAGGTTAGGGTTGTAGTGAATCCACTTTCTCTTCTAGAGGTCCATTTGTTGCTGTCATGTTCTTTCCTTTTGGCATGTCTCTTGGCTCTCTTTTATGCCATAGTAGTGGGTCATTGTACTGGGGCCTCTACATTTATTCCTTTCCTCAGTCTTTCCATTAGTTTTCTTGTGAGAGTATCTTCCTTCCCCCACCCTCTTGTTTTTTTTCCTGTTATTCTATTTTATTTGGCACTGCTCAGAGTTGACGTGAAGGAGCAGGGGCCCAGTCACAGCTACTCACTACACCATCTTGCCAGAACTTCCTCCAGAGTCTCCCGACTTCATATTTTTTGCCCATGCTTACCCTGATTATAGAGAGGCAGTGTGCTGCCTTAATGGGAAAAGCACTGGCCCAGGAGTCAGGAAAGCCGGATTCTAGTGTTGATTGTGCCCCATCTAGCAATGTGATCTTGGACAAGTTACGCCACCTTTCTGGACCTCATTTTTCTACTTATTACGTGGGAGGATGGGAATGGGGCAGATAATTCTCTTATATTTCCTTCCAGTTCCAATGTAAGATAGGTTTGGTTCATGGGACATTTCTATGTTCATCTAGGTATGTTCATAGGTGGCATGGATAGATATAATCTGAGACCCGGCCCCCCCTTTGGTAGAGGAAAGCCAGGAGTAGTGCGTGCTAGCTGGGAAAGGAGGTTGGAAGGGACAGGCAGGCCCTACTAGTACCACAAGGCTTGCCACTCTTTTCTCCAGTCTCCAAGAGAGATAACAGGCTAGACCAAGGGTGGAGAACCTGTGGCTTCAAGGCTACATGTGGCCTTCTAGGTCCTCAAGTGTGGCCCTTTGACTGAATCCAAACCTCACAGAACAAATCCCCTTAATAAAAGCATTTATTCTGTAAAACTTAGACTCAATCAAAAGGCTGTACCTGAGGACCTCGAAGGCCACATGTGACCTTAAGGCTGCAGGTTCCCCACCTCTGGGCTAGACTCATATCTATTGGACCTTTTCAAATACCTCTGGTCTAGAGGCATGATACTTTGGGGTGTCCAAGCCACTTTTCCTGATTACTCTTATGGGGGAGGCCTTAAGCTAACCCTTAGCTTACACTCAAGCAGCTAGGTGGCAAAATGGATACAGCATTGAACCTGGAGTTAGGAGGACCTGAGTTCAAATCCGGTCTCAGACACTTACTAGCTGTGTGACCCTGGGCAAGTCACTTAACCCTGTTTGTCTCAGTTTCCTCATCTGTAAAATGCTTTGGGAAAAGGAAATGGCAAATCACTCCAGTATCTTTGCAAAAAAACCCCAGATGGGGTGACAAAGAGTGACTGAATAACAACAAGCTTACACTTGCCAGCTTAATTCCTTCCCCTCAAACATTGGTTACATAAAAGGCCATCACAAATTACAAATAGTGAGTAAGCCTATTTACCCAAGCAAGCAGCAGGATACAGAAAAATCATGTAGCCTAGAACACACAAAACAAAATGAATTCTTTAGCTAGAAGTGAGATGAGATCTTAACTCAAACCAGACAAGAGAGTCTGATCTCACTCAATGAAATCTATCCCAGCAATTTCTAAGGAGGCAAGACAGAAATCAAGGACAGGCTGAGGAGCTGACTTCCCCTACATGTCTGCTGCTTCTCTGTGTGTCTGTCCTGAGGAGGCCTTGGAACCACATGTGTGGTTCCCAGGGAGCATTTGGCCCCCAAACCATGTGTGTGTTCAGTCATTCAGTCATGTCTGAATCTTCATGATGCCATGGACCATACTGTCTATGGGGTTTTCTTGGCAAAGAGACTGGAGTTCCTTCTCCAGTGGATTAAGACAAACAGAGGTTAAGTGACTTGCCCATGGTCACACTGCTAGTGGAAGCTGGATTTGAAGTCAGGTCTTCTCCACTGCAGGCCTAGCACTCTATCCACTGAGCCACCTACCTGCCTCTACACCATATATTCAGAATTCTCTTCACCAATCTAGAATCAAGTCTCCTTTCATATAGACAGATACACTCAACTCAAAATGCCTCAAGGTTGGTATACTTGGGATGATCTCACTGAGAATAAGACTGTATGAAGGAGTCCCAGGAGCTGTTGTAGGCTACTCGCATATTCAGGGGTTTTCTCTGGGTCTCGGCCAAGTACTAACTCCTACTTCATGCCTTTGCTGATATCTTTCCTGCCATGACAAACGAAATACAGGAAATGGTCTTAATTGGTAGTCATATGGTAGAATTAGAGAATGTCAGAGTTGGAAGGGACTTTGGAAATAATCCAGTTCCACCCTCTTATTTTATAGAAGAGGAAAATAATGAGGTGAAGTGACATATCAAGGTAATAATATACAGGTAATAAGTTGCAGAGCAAGGAATGTGAACTCTAGGTTTCTCAGCATTCTTGCCATTGTACTAGGCCAGGGCAGGGGTGGGCAACCTGCAGCCTGGAGGCCACATGTGCAAGGGATTTGTTCTGTGAAGGATGGATTCAGTCATAGGGTTGCACTTGAAGATTTAGAGAGCCACATGTGGGCCTACCTACACGTGGTCTAGAGGGACTACCAGCTTCAAGAAAGTAGGGCAGAAGGTATATACTCCACTGCGGAGTGGCACATATGACTGTTGGAGCTCCAAGGGGGCACAAATGATTGTATTCTATGAAGTCAGGAGAGAATTAGGTTGAAGAGATATTTTCAATGACAAATAAGTGATCTAAGAAGTTCTCTCTGGGCCAAGGAATGAAGGAAAGGGATATGTCTTTTGCCTCTTTGTTGGGGCTGGTAAGCGCTGGGAATCAGACAAACCTCAGGTGGGGTAGAAGGACAATCTGCCTGGGGAAGAGGAGAAGAGGCCTGAGTTGGAAGAAAAGCCTTTATAAATCACAAATCTAGGTTGGGTTCATACCAGGATCTCTGTAGGGTGAAGAAATAAAAAAAAATCCAGAGTACAGCGACAAGACCAACTTCTAGGCAAAGATTCAGAGACAAGGCAGCTGGTATTCAAAGTTAGAATTCAGGAAGTGTTAGGGAGTTGGCTTCTTGCATGACTCAGCCTCATTTCCTAAAGCGCCAGTTATTTTATTGTGACTGCTCATGTTCCATGCCCTCTCTGCGCACTGATCTGTCATTATGTCTGTGGGTGGAGTCTCCCAAATCTTCTGATTCATCTCCTACCTTCTCTGGTCACATGCTTATTTATATATCTTTTGATTTCTGGAGAACAGATGAAAAAAGGAAGGGATAGAAAAACAAAAGGTGTGACAGTCCCTGCCCTGAAGGAGGGAAACAGGGGAAAACAATACCCAAAGAAGGGTGGCATTCTAGGAGAGGTACTTGGTCCAGAAAGTTATAGGATGGTGACAGGGATATAGGGGAGTACATTGACACATCCTGGGGAGCAAGATGGCTCAGGGAATAGAGCACTGGGCTAGGAATCAGGAAGAATCATCTTTGTGAGCTCACATCTGGCCTCAGACACTTACTAGCTGGGTGTCCCTGGCCAAGTCACTCAACCATGTTTGCCTCAGTTTCCTCATCTATAGAATAAGTTGGGAAAAGGAAATGGCAAACCACTCCAGTATATTTGCCGAAAACCCCAAACAGGGTCATGAAGAGCTGGACACACAACTGAATGATTGACACACCCCATCCAGAAACAATGGCAGAGCTGATATGATCATGGTTCATTTATTCCCATACTTGAAGGTGGGGTGGTGAGGAGGATACCCACTGTGGAGAGGAGGGGAAGGGCAAGGCAGTTAAGGCTATGAAGGTGCCTGGAGAGGCAGGACTGAAGTGAAGCTTGGCCGGAGCTTTTCTTGAAATAGTGATCTGGAAGAGGGAGTCACCAATCAGAAGAGAGGTCTGGCAAGGCTGAGTTTCTCTAGGTTGGAGAAGGTGGTTGGTGAGACTGTGGAATTATAGTAGTCAGGAACATAAAATTTTGTGAATGGTATCTTGGTCAGCTGCTCCAAATGGTGAAAATAATTTTGCAAATTTTTCAAGGCCTTCAGCCTTCCATTTAACAGCCTGAAAGCTTCAAAACATTTTTCTGTTTCTTCACCACATTCTCTATTGCATCCTATGTCTCTATGGAGTTCATTGTCAAGAAATGATCCAGAATTGTTTCCAAATTCTCTGTTCATGTCAGCCCTGAAGCCATAGGCCCACTTGTCTTATACCTTCAGCATGGGATTATCAAATCCAGCCACAACACCCTTGATGTCCATGTCGCACACACAGATACGATCAGTCAAGAGACCTTTATTAAGCGCCTACCGTATGCCAGGCACTGTGCTAAGCCTGAGGATACAAAGAAAGCAAAAAAGACAGTGCCTGTTCTCTAGTAGCTCGAAGTCTAATGGAGGACGTTATGCAAACAACTGTGTACAAATATGCCATGTACAAGATAGATTGGAAATAATCAACAGAGGCACGAGCACTATGGGTGGTCAAGAAAGGCTTCTTGTTGAAGGTGGGAGTTTAGCTGGGGCTTGAAGAAAGCCATGTAAGGAAGATAGAGTAAACATCAAAGTTACAATCTTTGCATAAATTAATGAATTAATGAATATTGACGGAAATAATGACATTGTGCTTCAGAGATGGAAGGTGTGATTATAGGCTCCACAGAATTAAGGGGGCTGGGCACTGGTGGATGGAGTGGGTAGGGAAAAGCCTGGGCTTTGGGCTGCTGCAGGGGTAGGGAACCTGCAGCCCCGAGGCTCCAGGTTCTAAGGTGCAGCCCTTTTACTGAATCCAAACTTCGCAGAACAAATTTGTTCTGGCTAGCGTTAGACCATTATACTATTATGATAGTGATGTGTGTTTTAGAAGGGTGAAGAGTTCTTAGGTACTCCATGAGGGCAGGGATAGTCTTATCTAAACTTTGCATCTCCCCCTGCCCCATGCCCATGCCATCCCCCTCCATACCTAGCACAGTCAGAGCTTAATAAATGCTGTTAAATAAATGAATGGTGAAGGAATTATAAAGAAACTAAGAAGTTGTGATTAGCATTTCTCTCATGCTTCTTATGGGGGACAGGTGTCCCTAGGATTATTTCCTGTTCCATTCTGGCAGCTTTCCTCTCTCCCCACCCCCTCCCCACCTGCCCCGCACATGTATCAGTTTGCCCTTGGTATATTTCTGCAAGCCCAGTCTCGGAGCTGGTTAGGAGGCCTGGCTGAATGCCCCCAGGGAGGCAGCACAGACCGAGAGCTTCCTAGGCATGGGGCCTCCATTGTAACTACCATTTGAGAGCAATTGAAGACTGTTTAAAACGTCTGGAAGCAGCCCTCTGATTCATTTTTCTGATGACTCCAGATCCTGTTTCATGTCTTTTGTATAAGCACACAGGGACAGTTCATTATGACACCAGAGAGTTAGCTCGACTCCTAAGAGATGCCTGGGTGGAAGGGGTGCCAGCTGGAGGCTGCCAAGGAATCTTGAAAGGCCAAATCTCCCAATGGCAGAAACGGCACCTTCCCCCCTCCCAGGAACCAGAAAACATTAATCCTCTCACACTTCAACTTTGCCAGTAATAAGATCAAGTTAATACTCGCCTTGAAAACTTATACAATGGATGTTTACATCTCTTTTGAAAGCCTTTCGAGGCCAGAGTTTATTTAGAGGCAGTCAGTTCTGATATAAAGTCAACTAGACCGGGAGTCGGGGAATTCAGGTTCCAGCCAGGCCGCTGAATTACTGTGTGACTTTGGCAGATCATTTCCCTTCTCTGGGCCTTGTTTCCTTCTCTATAAAACAAGAGGTATGGATTCAGTGGTCTATGAGGTTCCTGCCAGCTCGAATGTTCTACCGACGATTCCATGGGGTTTGCTTGGAGCTCAGCCTTGATACCGCTCAGTAGGGCTGATAGAGCCTTTGACAAAACTGTTCATGAAAGTATTGTTCTCCATGAACTTGTTTTTCATCATTTGTTTCATCTTAAGCTTGATGCAAATGTGGGAAAGAACATACAATATTTCTTTGGAATTCTAGATGGATTGAAAGCCATCCTTAAGTTTCTTCTTACGATTTCCTTCAGCAAAGAGGAAATCCATGCCTGATATTTTCTTGCCTAGCTCTGTATTCACCCTGCTGCCAATGACCTGATTAGCTGTGCTGGGAACTGTGTCAGAAAATAAAGAGATATGTTCTGGTAGCTTTGGGTGCTCTTTTTTATTACCCTGAAAAAGAAAGTCACATTTCATATAAGTTACACAAAATATTTGTATCTAAATGCTGGCATGGCATATATAAGCATGTGGCACTTTGGCATTATAATGATGACAACAATATTAATAATAATAGGAGCTAGCATTTATTAAAAGATTTATAAGGGGAACAAGAATTTATTAAGTACCTACTATGTGCCAGGAACTGTGCTAAATGCTTAAAATTATTACCTCATTTGATCTTTCCAACAACTCTGTGATGTAGGTGCTGTTATTATCTCCATTTTACAGCTGAGGAAACTGAGGCAGATAGCGATTAAGTGACTTGCCCAGGGTCCCGCAACTAGTTAGTATCTGAGGTCACATTTGAAATTGGGTCTGTCTAACTCCAGTCTCATTGCTTTGTCTACTGTGCTACCATGCTGCCTGTGGATTAGTATATAGAGAGCTAGATGACCTCTGACCTATTCTGACAGTAGTAACCAAAGTAACATTGCCAGTCTCTGGGCATTTTCTTTTGACCCGTTGAATCTCCAAGAAAGGCTCTCTACATATAAGGTTCATCTTATGGGCCAAGATTTACCTTTTTTATCTTTTGGAAAGGGGGTGGGGAATTCCCTTTAGAGCTTTGTACCTTTTAATTTGCAGGATTTAGAGTTGAAAGGTACTCTCTAGTTTAATCCCTTGGTTTTACAGGTGAGGGAACTGAGGGCTGAGAGAGGGAAAGGAACTTTCCCAAAGGTTATAATAGCAGAGATGGGACTTGAACGGGGTGCTCCAAGAGCAAACCCAGCTCCTTCCGTGGCCCCATTTTAGAGCAGCATTAGACCAGGGTGGTTCTGCAGCAGTAAAGTACTGTTTGCCCCTCCCTTGATTATGGATTACCCACAATGGTGATTAAACTTAACTCAGCAAAATCTGATTGTATCTATTCTGTGGGAGACACTGGCAATTGCTGAGGACACAAAACATGAAAATGAAACAATCCCCGCCTGCCAACATTTTATATTGTACTCGGGGGGTTCTGCTTGTGTACACACAAATATATAAAACCTACTCAGGGATTTGAGATTTCACCAGCAAGAGGAATTACTGATGTGATAATTCCCTCTACCAATCCTAAATGCAGCAAATCTAGAGGCTAAGTAACACATCTGGTCACCACATCAGAGTCCAGATTTGAATCTAGGTCAGCCTAGGCCTTCTTGACTCTAAGCTTAGGTCTCTGTCTACAACATGACACTTTCTTCTATTCTAGATGTATGATGAACACGAAGTTAAATATACAGAGTGATTCGAAAGGGAGTGAGCATTCAAAGCCTTGAACATCATGAAAGTTTTCCTGATGGTGGACATCCTTCCTAGAGGTGGTAGCTGAGAACCAAGAAAAATTTTTCTATCCTCACAGTTGTTGTTTGTTCTTTATTTTTTCAAAGAGGATTAAAGCCATCATAGGATCAAGTCTTGACTTATGAGTGAACGGTATTTAAGTGAGGCACAGTTGCACAAAATTATCAACCTCACTCTCTCTTCCAGAGTCATTAAAGTCCAGTGGCAAGACAAAAGTCAGGACGACTGGCTATTGCCAGGCCCAGGATGCATGGATGACCTTGGTGTCTTCAATGTCTAACCAAGCTCTAATTCCTCCATAACACCTGTTTTAGCAGACTTCATGGCCATTGGAACAAATTATTCTCATCCATCCAGGTTCCAGTGGGGGAAGTCTTCACATGCTTATATACTTGGAACTTATTTATTTGTATACATGCTGTATTCCACAAGCAGAACTAGGTTTCTTGAGGTCTAATACCAGTAGCATTTTGCCTTCGGATCTCAAGAGCCTCACACAGAGCTTTGCACATAGTAGGTACTTAATAAGTGTCTAGTTGAATTTGCTGTTTTGGTGTATTTGGCCAGGAAGGTCCTGGGACAGTCTGTCTGTCATGAGGCCCGTCCTGTAGGCCTTTCCAGTTTGGTGGGATCAGCTAGAGCTTAGCTCAGATGGCAAGGTCATTGGGAACTCAGGTTACCTTCACTCCCTAATGACGCGCTAAAGGAAGATATTGAGGGAGACAACAATACCATATATAAATGTATCTTACCATTGGATCATAGTCTTTCAAAAAGCTCCAATTTTCAATCCTGGGAAGAAAAAACAAGTTATATTAAATCTATAATGGATATTTTTATTTCTACTTTTCATAATAAATTAATTCCCTTCATTGCAGCAAACCAGTTACAGAATGCCAATCCATATCCTACTGTCTCTCCAAGATACTTCCATTCCATGTTATCATGACTGCTCTCAAAGCAGGCTTCCCATACTCCTTCCTCCATGAGAATCTACTGTCACGGGTGCTTTCTGCTTGTGTAAATGTTAAATCATATGTATATGCATATATGTATATATGTGTATATATGTATACACATACACATACACATACACATACAGGTATAATTTAATCAGGTAGTAATAAAATCGCCTTAATGGGACCCCCTTTTCTACTCCTTTTTTTCCTTCTGTACATTTAAAAATGTTTTGATGATGCTCCTTTTAGTGTCTACCACTGCCCATTACCCACTAACCCACCTTGCTCCCCACCCCGCCCCTCCACTGTGACAAATATGTAGAGTGAAGAAAGACAAATCAACACACCAGCCATGTCTGAAACTTGGCTATGTCTGAGTCTGTACCACTAGTCTATCACTGCTCTGATAAGAGGCAAGAGGTTTGAAGTTATGATTGGCCACTGCTTTGATTACAGTTCTTTAGTCTTTCCAAGTAAGCCCTCCCTTCCTCCCTGGACACCTGGCTACATTTTAAAATGTCTCAAGTTTCATCGGTGATTCTGACTCATTAGCAATTGGACTCAAATCCAAAGCTTCACTCATCTTTCTACTTAAACCTCTCCTTCTTTCAAGATCTCCAATTCCTGATGTAGACAATGCCATTGTCTCATTCACTTGGCCTTGGTAACATGGACGTCATCTTGTACTCCCCAATGACTACTGTTATTCCCTAGTTCAGACCCTCATTACCTCTCACATCAACTATTGTAATGATTTCCTAGTTAATTTTCCTAATAGATTTCCCACTCTATAATATATACTCCACATGGATGTTAAAATCATCTTCCTAAGGCACAGGTCTGAACATTGTCATTCCCCTTCTAAAAAACCTTCAATGGCTCCCTATTGATTTTGCGTTTGGCAATTATTATTATTATTATTATTATTATTATTATTATTATATTTTTTTAATTTTTGATTTGTTTGTTCTTGAGACAATGGGGTTAAATGACTTGCCCAGGGTCTTTGTGTCTGAGATCACATTTGAACTCAGGTCCTCCTGATTTCAAGGTTGCTGCTCTAGTCACTGTGCCACCTAGCTGCCCCTAGCCTGGCGATTAAAGTTCTCTATAGTCTGACTCCAACATACCTTCAAGTATGCTTGTATTCCAGCTGAAGAACTAGTGGCTACTCCTTGACCTCAGAAGGTCCTCTCAGCTCCAGGAGCAGCTCTCCCCTGTACTGGGAATACATTTTTTTTCAGCTCTGCCTCCAAGGATCTTTAGCTTCCTTTAAGGCTCAGCTCAGGTGTCATGTTGTCAGTCAGCTCTGTGAACTCTCCAGTTATTAGCTCCCAATCCTTCCTCAAATGACCATATATTTATTGTGTGTCTACAGGGATGACCCCAGGAAAATGCAAGCAGGTGATGCTGTGTTTGTTTCTTTGTCTCTCCAGTGCTCAGAACAGTGCCTTGCATGGAGTAGGTCCTTAATAAATGGTTATTGCATTGAATTAAAAAGGCATTTTACTAAGATGCTTTGTATTTGTGTACTAAATTAAATTACAGTGAAGACTTCCCCTTCTTGTCATCTTATTAAAAGATTAGGCCACTAATTAATTACATTTGTATGGAACTAACTCTTCTTACAGACTTAAAAAAATTCAATTTTCCCAAATGAAACTCTAACATATACATAATAGATAATTGGAGAGAAATTCAAGCACATCTTCATGGATTAAAAAGGACTGCATATTTAATATACTAAGCTTTAGAGCTGGAGGGGATCCCAGAGAGCATCTAGTCCCCGCCCTTCGAAGCTAAAGCTGGGAGAGGAGAAGTGACTTGCCTGTATGGTCACACTGGTAGTAAAATCAAGATTTGAACTCTAGTCTTTTGGTGCTAAATTTAATATTTTTTTCACAAAATCTCTTGGACTTTGAACTGGCAGAGAATGTTGATAGTAAAAACAAAGGTAACTGATTTCTGTATTTCATGCTAGTTCTTGGGTACATATTCTTTCAAAAAATTTTTTTAAATTCAGTTTATTTATTTTTAGTTTTCAACATTCACTTCCATAAGATTTTGAGTTTTAAATTTTCTCTCCCTCCCACTCCCTTCCCCCCCCCCCTTATGGCATACAATCTGATATAGGGTCTACATATACATTCATGTTGAGCATATTTTCCCATTAGTCATGATGTAAAGAACAATCAGAACTAATGGGAGGAACCACAAGAATGAAGCATTGGGTAAATATTCTTGACTTTTGTCCTTAGCTCACCCTAACCTTCCTTCATTGAATATCAGCATCTCCCTGCTGGAGAGGCATGGTATTGATTACAGGGGTGGGGAACCTACAGTCTCGAGGACACATGTGGCCCTCTTGGTCCTCAAGTGAGGCCCTTTGGCTGAGTTTGGATTCAGTCAAAGGGCCTCATTTGAGGACCTAGAGAGCCACGTGTGGCTTTGTGAACATCAGAGAATGGGAACCTCTTAGAATCACAGAAGGGTATGCCAGTCTAAGCCCCATGTTTTATAGGTGAGGAAACTAAAGCTGAGAGAGAGAGAGAGAGAGAGAGAGAGAGAGAGAGAGAGAGAGAGAGAGAGAGAGAGAGAGAGAGAGAGAGAGAGAGAGAAAGTGACTTGTCCGAGGTAACATGAAAAGAAAGTGGCAGACTTGGGATTCAAACTCAATTTTTTTTTTAATAGTGAGGCAATTGGGGTAAGTGACTTGCCTAGAGTCACACAGCTAGTGAGTGTTATGTGTCTGAGGTTGGATTTGAATTCAGATCCTCCTGACTCCAGGACCGGTGCTCTATCTACCGTGCCACCTAGTTGCCCCTCAAACTCAACTCTTGCTAAATAGTCTGTGACCTTTAGAGGAAAATGCCCTGGCTAGGTGCTTAATAAATGTTTATCTGTTGAATGAATGAATGACCGATGGGTGCATTTTGAAGACACAAGTTCGAGTTTCAGCTTTAATTTTGCTAGCTCTTTGACACTGGACAAGCTATCTGACTCCTGGAACTTCAATTCTGCCATTTGTAAAATGGGGTTGATAATGCTCATCCTGTTCCGCTCCTCTCCCCTCCCCCTGTGCTGGGGAAAGTGTTTTGCAAACTATAGAATCTTGAGAAGTGGGAGTTACTGTTATTATTATGACAGGAAAAGGGTCCCTTTTGGGTGGAGTTCCCTGACTGCAAATTGAAGGTTCTTATTACTCTATCATGAGCACTCACTAAGGATTAGGAACTTCTGAAATGAAAAATGAAACAGAAAACAAGACAGTTATTTTGCAGAGTGGGCACTTCACTACTTATCTCTGGGACTCATTTTCTCCTGAGCTGCAACTTGTAACATGAGGTTTGACTGTATGATCTCTCATGTTCTTCCCAGCTCTAACATTCTATGTTCTAAGTCTCCCCTAGTTCTAATATTCTATAGTCTAAGTACCCCTCCCCCCATCATATCTCTATTCTAAAGTTTCCTCTATTTCTAACATTCTGTCCTAAAGTCTGCCCACCCCTGAACATTCAATTTAAATGCTGAAACAATTCAGTTCAACAAACCTGTATCAAAGAGCTTCTATATACAAGGCACTCCTTGCCTCCAAGAAACCTACTTTCTACTGGGGGTTACAACACGTACACAGGCCAATATGTTATTTGAGGTGGGAGCTATCACTAACACCTTTTGGGGCTGGGGTGGGGTGGAGATCAAGGAAGACTTTCTGGAGGATTTGGTACATAAGCACACCTGCCTGCATTTTCCTGGGGTCATCCCTGTAGACACACAATAATTATATGGTCATTTGAGGAAGGATTGGGAGGTAATAACTGGAGAGTTCACAGAGCTCACTGACAACATGACACCTGAGCTGAGCCTTAAAGGAAGCTAAAGATCCTTGGAGGCAGAGCTGAAAAAAGAAATGCATTCCCAGTATAGGGGAGAGCTGCTCCTGGAGCTGAGAGGACCTTTTAACGTCAAGGAGTAGCCACTAGTTCTTCAGCTGGAACACAAGCGTACTTGAAGGTATGTTGGAGTCAGACTATAAAGAACTTTAATTGCCAGGCTAGGGGCAGCTAGGTGGCACAGTGACTAGAGCAGCAACCTTGAAATCAGGAGGACCTGAGTTCAAATGTGATCTCAGACACGAAAGACCCTGGGCAAGTCATTTAACCCCATTGTCTCAAGAACAAACAAACCAATAATAATAATAATAATAATAATAATAATAATAATAATAGCCAGAGGTGAGGCAGGAGTGCATGCATGCATGCATGGATGGGGGCTTTGAATGTATCTCCTTTGCTTTGCAGTTTCCTAACCAGCTTCTTAAGGGCCACAAAGAGATGAAGAGATAGAAGGCAACTAGGCGGCCTTCAGCCAAAGAGAAAAGGAAGGGAGCTGCTTACCAGCGCTTCTGGCTCCTGAGCTCAGCCTCCAGCAGCTCCCTCCACAGGTTGTCCTGATGGACCTGGTTTGCCTGCACTGCAGCCTGCTCAGTCTCCCGGGCTTGGGCCCCCTGTGTCCTGAAGGGGCTGATTCCTGGTGGAATCCTTCGGAGGGAAGGGGCTGAGGCCAAGGCTGGGTCAAGAGGCCTGGGTGATCGCTGCCTGCCGCCAGCCAGAGAAGGGCTCTCCATTCTGAATGTGTCTGGTCTAGGCGTCTGTAAGAGAGGTCTTCTGGTATCTGGTACTCCCTCCTGGTGACAGAATCACCTGCATCCAGGAATGTTAAAGCCAGCTTCTCCACTCTGCACCAGTCAGCTGTGCCCCTGACTGTAGGATCACAGGATCTGAGAGCTGGAAGCAACCTCCCAGGTCATCTAGCCAAATCTAGGCCAACTCCCCTCTGTAAGTGATGAGCTATATCTCAGGTTCCCCCTCACTCCCCAGGCCTCACTAGTTTGCTGGCGCTCAGAGACAGCCTGATACTGCTTCTTTGTCAGGGAGCTTGGGATAGTGATTGCTCCATCAATGCCGAAGGTTGCCCCAGTGTGTTTACCGTCGCCCCTAGAAACCAGACAAGCTCATAAATATTCACCAGCAATGGACCAGAAACCAGTATTAACCCAGAGGAACTGGCCCCTTCTGCCTCCTGGGTCTCTTACTTGGGAGGCAGAGCATAACAGAGCTTACTTTCTCTAAATGGTGCAGAATTTTCTTCCCATATGTATAAAGTACTTCTGTTAAGAATCTCCAAAGCAACACTCCCCACGTGGAGTGGGGAAATCTGGGTTCTAGTGAGAGCGGCCAGCTGTAGCTATTTAACTTGGGTGGTCAGCTTTTTACCACAGGTAAAACATTGCAAGATATTGTCACAGCTGTGTCACAGTATGGGGGAGATAGAATGTTTTAGCAGAAAGTTCTAGATTAAGAATCAGAAAAACCTAGTTTCAGATCTCAGTAGCCTGTATGGCCGTGGTCAAGTGGCTTAATGTCTGTAAGCCTCAGGCAATTATCAAAATGTTACATTTACTAAATTTGCTAAATCCTGGATCCTTTCTTTCTTGTAGGAATTTTCTGTGATAAAGGTCTCATTTCCAAGTTATAAAGGAAATTGATTCAACTTTATAAGAGCCATTCCTTTCCCAAATGATCAGTTGACCAAAAGATATGATTAGGGACTTTTCAAATCAATAGACATGTATTTTACTTTTTAATATAAGTTTTATTGATGTCTTCTGTTTTTTTACAACGTCATAGTTAGCCCCAGTATCTCTCCCCCTCCAACAAATAGTATTTTTTTAAAGATAAAAAAAAAGAAAGAAAAAATCAGCAGAATTGATCAATACATTTAAAAAGTCTGAAAATGAATGTAATGTGTAACACTTGTGGACCTCCCACCTCCAAAAGGGCAGGTTAAGATTGTTCTCTCATATATTTTCATTTGAGTTCTGCTTTATCTTTGTAATTTTGTTCCATTCACTTTTGATTTTTTGGTATATGATAGTTCTTCCCATTTACATTGCTATAGTTATTGAATATGCTATTTTTTTGGGCTCTCCTTACTTCACTTTGCATCAGTTCATATAGACTTTTCCATGATTCTCTGTATTCATCACACACATCATTTCTTACAGCTCAGTAGTATTCCATTACATTCACATACCATAATTTTTTTTTAGTCATTCTCTAGTTGATGGGCATCTACTTTGTTTCACTTCTTTGCTATCACAAAAAGTGTGGCTATAAATATTTAGGAGTATGTTGGAGACTTTTTCCTTATCAATGACTTTCTTGGGGCATAAGCCCAATAATGGAATCTTTGTTTCAAAGGCAATGGATATTTTTGTCACTTTGAAACAAAGTGTTGTTTCCTTTGTTGTACCATTTCACAGCTCTACCAACTATATATAACATGCCTATCATTCTACAACCTCTCCAACATCGACTAGTGGCATTTTTTGTCATCTTTACCAATTTTCAAGGTGGGAAGTAAAACCTCAGGGTTGTTTTGATTTGCATTTCCTTTATTATTATTTGAAGCATTCTTCCATGTAGCTGTAAATACTTTGCACTTCTTTTGAGAACTGTTCATATCCTTTGACCACTTATCTATTGGCTATTATTGGGAATGGCTATTAATCATGTATATTTATTATTGTTTATATATCTTGGATACCAAATCCTTATCAGAGAGATCTGATACAACAAAACATTTATTAAGCACTTTCTATGCGCCAGATACAGTGCTAAGTTCTAGTGATACAACGAAAAGCAAAAAAACAAAAACAACACAGACAAGAAGCATTCCCCGATTTCAAAGAGCTTACAGTCTCCTGGGGTAGACAGTAAGCAACTGGGAACAAACAAGATATATTCAGGACAGATTGAAGATAATTTTAGAGGGAAGGCTTCTTGCAGAAAGTAGGATTTTCGCTGGAACCTGAAGGAAGACAGAAGTCAGGAGACAGAGATGTGGAGGGAGAGAATTCTAGGCACAGTGGAAAGGCAGTGAAAATGCAGTCAAGAAACGGAGTGTTGGGACAGCTATGTGGCACAGTGGATAGAGCTCTGGCATTGGAATCAGGAGGAACTGAGTTCAAATGTGGCCTCAGACACTTGACATTTACTAGCTGTGTGACCCTGGGCAAGTCACTTAACCCCGATTGCCTCACCAAAAGAAAAAAAAGGAGTGTTTTGTACAAGGAATAAGAAGGGGGCCAGTGTTACTGGATCACAGAGTGTGTGAAAGGAAAGTAAGGTAGACTGCAAAGGAAGAAAAGGGTCAAGATTAGTTTGATAGCTGAATGGAGAATGGACTGGAGTAAGGAGACACTTGAGGCAGGGAAACCAAACCCAGGCTATTGCAATAGTTCAGGCATGAGGTGATGAGGGCACGCAGGGAGGGTAGTGGCAGTGTCAGAGGAGAGAAGCAGGGCAAATAGGAGAGATGTTATGGAGGTAAAATGAACAAGACATGATGACAGATGAAATATGTAGGGTGAGGAAGAGTTGAGAGTTGAGTACGTAGCTTACAAGTCTGGGTGGCTAAGGGGACGGTGGTGGCCAGTAGACAAGATTCTGAAGACGGTTACCCTGATACTCTGTATAACTTTTTTTTTTAATGGCTTCACCATGGTTGTTGGGTCCAGCACATATGGATGTCTCTGGGGGTCGACTTCTGACTAGTCTGGCCAGAAGTCGCTTCTCTTGACATCCCAGTGTATGGATTAGAAATATCCTTCCCTGCAACCTAAGGAAGGCAGCTGACGGTCATCACTAGGATCCCAGGATTATATGTGGCATGGCTAGATTGGCCGTGCTAGGCTGTATCCCACCTAAGATTCCTTCTAAGCATGAGAAACAGGAAGCAATGTCAATAGTGAGATTTCTGCGGGGGTTAGATCAAGAGCAGTAGTGGGAACAGAGTGAATGTTGTGATGGGGACCAGATATTTCACTTTGCAAAGGTGAAGAACCTAGCAATTTATACATTATTTCTTAGATTTTCAGAAGCCCTGTGGGATGAATACAACAATGCTTTCTACAGAAACTATTCTTGAGGAAGCCAGCCTTATGGATGGCAGTCTTGCCTCAGTCACTGTGGAGATCCTAGGGTACTCCTTCCTGCCATGGCTACCCTTTTCATGGACAGAGGTGGCCAGGAGCTACTCCTATTGTTGTCAAGGTGTTATCAGGGCTCTCAGCTCCATGATGCTTGGTATCCACCTTAAAATTACTTTTCAGATTTTGGAGAACATTTCACATCCTGATCTTACCAAATACTTGAACCCAAATCCCGTAGAAGTCAACTCTGAGCTGCTGTGGTTAGCAATGTTCAGCATGGGATTCTTCCTCCAAAGGTTTTACTTTAGGCTGGGTTCCTGTTTTCTGTCTGGTGATGTCAGAGATATGCCCTCTCTAAATCAAGGGTCTGGCTAGTGGAGTCTACATTCTTACCAATGGATCATGGCCTTTTTTGTCAATAGTAAATAAACATTAATAAGTACCTGCAATGTGCCAGGTACTGTGTTAAGTGCTAGGGATACAAATACCAAAAAGATAATTCTTGCCTTCAAGAAGCTTATGATCTAACTGGGGAAGGAAACTTACAAAAGGAAGCTGAAAAGAGTAGGGGGAAATACCCATTAGCCAGGGGCATGGCAGAGAAGTCAGAGATTTCTCAGAGAAATGAGTTGATGCTCTGAGCTAAGCTCCCTCCTTAATTGGAGGATTTGGAGTTCATGGCTCCTCCTTCCAGTCAGAGGGGCGGGTGTTGAGAAGGAGTATCTCTGGTAGGATGGTGAAGTTTTCCCAGTAATGCTCCCTGGGGCGTGGTGGAAAAGTCAGACAAGACCCAAAGTAGTATAGCTAGATAAGAAATGACTAGTTACATATTTGCTATTTTTTTTCCTTCTGTTGTGTTTTGTTTCCTTTTTCTGGTGGTTCTTCCTATGGGTTCTAATTCTCACGACAACACTAATGTGAAAATGTTTAATAGGAATGTATATGTATAGCGTATATCAGATTGCACGCTGTCTTGGGGAGGGGGAGAAAAATTTAAAACTCCAAAGCTTATGGAAGTGATTGTTGATAAATCAAAATAAATTAATTTTAAAAAAGAAATGACTAGTTACAAAAGAATTTAACAGCCCCATGATGTCTTAACTCTTTATGGAATTTTCTGACTTTATTCTGATGCCTGCTTCCCCAATGTCATTTTCACATTGGTCTATGTTTCTGAAACAAAGGAAAAGACTTTGAAGCAAATCAAGGCTAATTTTTAATAGTATTTTATTTTTCCAATTATATGTAAAGATAATTTTTAACATTCATTTTTATAAAATTTTGAGTTCCAAATTTTCTTCTTTCCCTCCTTTTCCCCTCCTCTTCCTAAAATAGTAAAAGATTCAATATAAGTTATATATATACAACTACATAAACTGTATTTCCATGTTATTCATGATGTAAAAGGAGAAGTAGACTAAAAGGAAACACACACACATGCATACACTAAAGCAAGTGAAAATAATATGCTTTGATCTGCATTCAGAGTCCATCAGTTCTTTTTCTGGATGTGGACAGCTTTTTCCATCATGAGTCTTTTGTAATTGTCTTGGATCATTGTATTGCTGAGAAGAGCTAAGCCATTCATAGTTGATCATCACGCAGTGTTATTGTTATTGCACACAATGTTTTCCTTGTTCTGCTCACTTCACTTTGCATCATTTCATGCAAGTCTTTCCAGGTTACTCTGAAATTTACCTGCCATTCTTTCTTTCTTTCTTTTTTGGCAAGGCATTTGGGGTTAAAGTGATTTGCCCATAGTTACATGGCTACTAGGTGTACGTGTCTGAGGTCGGATTTGAACTCAGGTCCTCCTGACTCCAGGGTCGGTGCTCTATCCACTGCGCCACCTAGCTGCCCCCCTCTTTATTTCTTATTGCATAATAGCATTCCATTATATTCATATACCATGGCTTGCTCATCCATTCTCCAACTGATGGGCATCCCCTCAATTTCCAGTTCTTTGAA